CCTCACTTTATCATCTCTCCCCTGCCTGTATCGATTCCTCCTGCCTGCCCCCAGAATTTGTCACCCTCCACAAACCCTTGTCTCCTCTCTCCTGTCTCACACTGGAAACTGCTCTGAATCATCAGCTAACCTAGCAATTCAGCCAACAGACTGTTCATGCTTCCTGTTAGAATAGTCTTTTCTTGTTTTCCCCTCTAATGGCTTCCTCAGGGGGCTGTTAATTTATATTGTAAATTTATTTATGCAAGAAGCAGATTCTGAGGGGGACATTTTAAAGGGCTCAGTCCCAACAATCTGGGCCAGATTTCCAGGAGCTCAGAATCCAGAGTGCACCCCACATGCTGAGCTCTTCAGAGAACCTGGCCTGGAAAGGATCAGTAACTTCCTTCGCTCTGTGAGACTTTGGGATGATCAAGTGCAAAGGAAAAAGCCCAAACAATTGATTTTTGCGGCAAACAAGACCAAATACACCAGTTCACATTCACCCCTCCTGTAACTCAGCTGAAGCCAGTGAATGGAGCTACACCAGGGAAGAATTTGGCCCCTGGTGCATACGTCACTCATGGGAAATTTACGTCATCGTACCTCTCAACCAGATCGTACTGACCAGTTTTTGTGGTTTCCTGAAGTCCAAGAATACGATGCTATGGAGGGACAGGATCTCTCTGTCCATTTTCCATACAACACACAGGATTACAAAGAGAAGAAAGCCTGGTGCAGAAGCACAGTTCAGAATGAGTGGGATGTCTTGGTCAACACTGATCACGGGTACCTCAGATATCAAAACAGGGCTCAGAAAGGTAAAGCCAGGATACATGACAACAGCCAGAAAGGGATTGTTACTATCACCATGGAGAAACTACAGGTAGACGATGCAGGGGTGTACCGATGTGCACGCTATGAGCCTCCCAGGCTTTACAGAATAATTGAAATTAAACTGGCTTTGCCAAGGGTGAGTATTTATTGGTAGGGAAAATGTGGGGCTTGGGATTTGTGTTTTGCAGATTTCAGCCCCCCACTTTCCCCACTCTCTCCTTCCTCTCTCTGACACTGAATCTGTATCACCTCCTCCCAGCTTATTCCAGAATTCCCTCCACTCCCCAAAAAAACCTTGTCCCTTTATTCATAGCTCACACTAGGAACTGATGTAGAACATCAGCTGAGATAAAGACTTTGGCCATGTGGATATTTCTGTTTTTAATGACCTATTTAAATAGTTGTTTCTTCTCTCCCCTTTACTTGAGAGCTGGTTCAACCGTTTCAATCTAGGTACTTTTATGACCCACAGACTCATAGTATTTAAGCACCTGCATAGCAGCTGAGCATTGGTTTCCAGAGCAGCTAGCGGAGATACTACTCAATTCTAATTTTGCATTTTGATGGAGAAAGAAAAGTATTTTGTAAATTCTGACCCACATTTTAACCAGCTCCAGTTTCTAGTTATTCCCTTAAATTAACTTATTTTTTTTAAATCAATGAAATTTAATGAACTATCTATAAGAGCCCAGTGACTTTCTCTGGCCTGTTTTTGAAGATGGCAGTAAAGCAATACAGAAGGGTGGAGATAGTCCTCTCCAAGGGAAGCCGTCAGACATTAAGTCCATATCAGAATTAGAGCTGGAAAAAAAATGGTTGGCTAGAAGTTTCGAAGAGTCAAAAACATTTCATTTCCAGCAAAATGTTTTGTTTCCATTTTGAGATACTTCTCTTTTTAAATTGTTTTAAAAATAGAATTAAAGATCATTTAAAGACAAAAAGGTTTTATTTTGAACCTAAAAAAATTGACTTTTTAAAAAAAATATGTAAATAAAACACAGACTTATTCTGAATGTTTTTAAGTTGGGTTTGGGTTTTTTTGCTACAGAAACAATTTGACAAAATCCAACATGAATTCATTAACTATTTCAGTCGACCCAAACCTGCTTTTTTCACCAAAAACTGTTTCAGTACCAAAAATGTCATCCTGCTGTAATCATAATACATGTGATTGAATACACAGTCTGTGAGCCCTGACACCTCATGGGAGGCCTGCAGTGATGTGCAGTAATGGCCCTAGAAGCTGTTACTGTATCAATTTTTTGCATGTTTCTAAAGTTTTGTTTCTTTGGTTTGTTTCCTCATTACTGCAGGGAGCTGTGGCACAGGTGATGCTAATGGCCTGAATCTCACATGCTGGTGGCTGGCTTTGTCTAGGATTGTTACATGCTTCGTGGTACAGGAGAAGCTTTGCAATACAGAGCAACCTCCCCATCATACCATGTGCTTCTCTCAGTAGCAACAGTGTGAATGCTAGTATAGACAAGGCTCAAGTGGCCACCCAGCCTTTTAACTGCTGTGTTTTTTAGCTTGTGCCAAGTAGGTCTACATGACACAGAGCTTACAGCACGGCCAGCTTGTCTCTACTAGCCCTGCACCAGCCGTAGCTAGCACTGGTGGGAAATGTTACGGGATAAACGCTGGTGTAGACAAGGCCTGAGGTGTCGAAACTGTGTTTGTATTTGCAGCTACAACTACAAGTGTCGTTCCAGTTACCTCAAGTACAGGTCACACCAGCCTAATCCTTAGCACAGCTAGTGCTGGGGTCACCTCACCAAATAGCAGGTAAGGCTCCAAGCCCTTCCTCTAAGACAGCCTCTGTTTGCACACCTCAAAGGGGTTGTTAGTGGCTGATCCCACATGCTCGTCTTTTCAGAGAGAAAGCAGCAGCCTTTCACAATGGCACTGAACATAGCAGGCCTCCTTTAAAAGGTGCCAGATTAGTGCCCTCTTCCCACCTGCCACCCAGTGTTAAATGGCACATGATAAAATGGGCGGATGAAAACCAGGCACCGTCTCGTTTGAGAATTTACTAGTCTTGTCACTGTATTATCATTAACCCTTGCAGCTGCTGCTCTTTGGAGCAAGAGAAATGACATTAAATCTGGATGCATTGAATCCAAACAGTTTCCTGCATCAGCCATTGTAAAAGCAGAGCTGCCCCTTCTCATTCCTGACGCCAGCCAGTGGCCACTGTGCTCAGTGGAAGCTGCGGAAGCCCTATTAAATATTTCCCCAGCGGTGTATCACCTCATTCTAGTTACTGGTTTATTCAATTTAGGTTTTTTTCTTTTCAAGGTCTGTGATTTGTATTGTGGTGGCACCATGGACCAGCACGCCATTGCGCTAGGCGCTGTACAAAACAGAAAACAAAAAAGAAATTCCCTGCCCCAAAGAGCTCACAGTTGGGCTTCAGAGACTAGTCTGTTTTCACAGGGCCACAGAGAGAAGTTCAGGACCTTACTCCCTATGTCAAATGGCACAGACATGGTTTAGCATTAAAGGAAGGGACATGTGATGAGAAAAAGCCACCGAAGTGTGTGAGCTATCCCAGGCCCTGGTCTGACAGCCTAATGTGAGATGCAGGGATGTTGTTTCTTCTGTGAAAACTTAGTTCAAGAGGTCAGGTCTGACAGCTGGTGTGAGGTTTAGCATTTCTATACAGAGAGTTAGTGCACAGCAAGCTGGTAAGTAAACCTGCAGCGCTCTAGTGTGCTGTGCACTAACTGGCCCTGTGGGCCCTGCTACCGCACACTATGAGTACCACAATGTGCTTAAAGCTCCTGATTGGCTTAAAGTCATTACGGAACTTTGAGTGCACACAGCAGCAGGAGTCACACGGCCAGTTAGCCTGCGGCACACTAGACCACTGCAGATTTACACCCAGTTTGGTGCACACTACCTCTCTGTATAGACGTGCCCTCATTTCTCAGTGCTCTTTGTTTGCAGTCATTTGATGCGGTAAGCATTTGCCACACAGTTATTTCCTGTTCTAACTACATGTGGAAATGGTGTCTCTGATAGGGAGGATGCATATCTCACTATTTTTGAATGTAAGTATTTATGGATTTGTAGACATTCTCTACATTTTGGACTCAATCTTTCATGAGCTCTTTCCACTAATCATGGCAGTTTGCATGGTGCAAGCTACTAGTGACTTTTTCATTAGTGAAGCAAAAAGCTGTCTCCCAAACTCCTGGCAAAACTCACCCGTAGCATAACTTCACTGACTTATGTAGATTTCCCAATCAAGTTCTATGGAATTATGATTACTGTAAGGGGAAAGGATACATCCACTGGGGTAGTACAGTACATGGAAAGAGGCAGCTACACTAAGTATGTTTTTGAGGGCTAAATCTTTCACACCGTGACTGAAAGCAGAATCAGTAAAAATAATACATGGGACACAGTGGCTTACATGATTTTTTTTAACCTTAAATGCCATTTTAAGTATCTGAGTTTATTTGTTCTGGATGGTAAAGGATGAAGGAAATACTCTAATTTTGTATTCAGCCCCAACATGTCTTTTGAAACCCTCCTCATCCCTGTGAGCTGATTGCTTCTCTCCCTTTCCTTCTTTCCTTACCAGCTCCCTCGACTCGAGATCTACCTTCCTTTGGTTGGGAGTTGGCTTCCTGATCAACAAGACCCTGTTAGCTGTGATGATAGCTCTCCCAGTGAGGAGAAGAAACCGCCTCGGAGGAAGCACCCAGACACCAATACATATTGAATTCATGGTGTGAAAGGACAGCTTGTCTCTTAAAACCAAACTATCTGTCATATGGGCCCACTAGGAAGCAGGGAATTCCTCGCGGGACTTCGTTTATGCTGCCAGATAGGGAACCAGCATAGCTCCATTGATGATAAAAAAGTCGGGGGCCTTATTAGCTATCACCATGTCATCTAGTCCTGCTGAAAGCAGGGTTAGACAACGCAATGGGGAAAGGCCCCATTACAGCTTCTGTTCTGGCTAGCACCAGAGCTGCTCCATCAGTGTTGAATTACAAGTTCCATTTCTGCCAATGTCGATCTAGCCCATGGCAACTGACTTGGGTTCTGGAAGGAATGTCCTGCTCATGATATGAAATCCAGGCAATCAGAGTATTTGGCCAACTTCCTAAGCCAGGGCTCACTAGGAAAAGTGGACTCTAGACCAAACTCAAGGGATCAATAGCGCTTAAAAGAGAAGGGAACAATATCTCATCAGAAAGCTGAAGGAGATTGTTGGTAACTTAGGGTAAAGTTTTCAAAAGTCTGTAAGTGACTTAGGTTTCTAAGTCCCATTTTCAAAAACTGACTTATGTCCTTAGGCACCCAAGTCCCATTGACTTTTGATAAGATGTAAGCTCCTAAGGGCCCACGTCAGTTTTGAGACTAAAACTTAGAAATTTTACCCTTGAAATTTTATTCTCTCTCTCTGAGACCCTGGAAAACTGCTTGTCCTCTTTGATGTGCAGTCACCAGAATAGATCCAATGCAAGGACTCAGACTAGAACAGGGCAGACCTTGAAATAGAAAGACATAATTTTCCCGCCAGCAGTACAGCTGGTCAAAAACTGACCATTTTTCAACCAAGTTTTGTCTTTCTAGTGAGAAAAGGAAAAAAGACATTTTCCATATTTGTCAACCAGCTCTATTCCAAATCCCAAGGCACATCACCCCCAGAGAGCCCTAAGGTAGCCCAACCTCGCAGCATTTCATGTTCATGATGTTCAGTACTTAGAGGACCTTGCCTCCAGGGCTGAGTCTGGAATCCAGGCAGACCCTGTTTCTCTCCAGAAGCAAAAGACCTCTCATATAGCCCAAAACACTTGGTTTAATGAGGCCCTGCACTGCCTTCAGACCCATCTGACCTCCCCTGAGCATGACAGTTTGTTCAATCCCTTTGGGTGTGGTAGGTTCTTTTCCTACTTCAAGGAAGTTAAGAACATAAGAACGGCCATACTGGGTCAGACCCATGATCCATGTAGCCCAGTATCCTGTCTTCCGACAATGGCCAGTGCCAGGTGCTTCCTAGGGACTGTAGAGAACAGGGCATTTATGGAGTGATCCATCCCCTGTCATCCAGTCCCAGCTTCTGGCAGGCAGAGGTTTAGGGACTTCCAGGGCATGGGGTTGCACCCCAACCACCTTGGCAAACAGCCATTGATGGACCTATCCTCCATGAAGGTATCTAATTCTTTTTTGAACACTGTTCCTCTTTTGACCTTCACAATATCCTGTGGCAAGGAGTTCCATAGGTTGACTGTGCGTTATATGAAGAAATACTTCTCTATTTTTGTTTTAAACCTGCTGGCTATTAATTTTGTCAGATGACCAGTGGTTCTTGTGTTATGTGAGGGATAAATAACACTTCCCTATTCATGATTTTATAGATCTCTATCATAACCCCCCCTTTGTCATCTCTTTTCTAAGCTGAACAGTCCCAGTCATTTTAATCTCTCCTTATATGGAAGCTGTTCCATACCCCCAAACATTTTAGTGCCTGTCTCTGTACTTTTTTCAATTCTAGTATATCTTTTTTGAGATGGAGCGATTAGAACTGCAGGCGGTATTCAAAATGTGGTTGTAAAATGGATTTACGTAGTGGCAGTATGATATTATCTATCCCTTTCCTAAAGGTTTCTAACATTCTCTTCGCTTTTTGAACTGCCGCTGCACATTGAGTGGATGTTTTCAGAGAACTATCCACAATGACTCCAAGATCTCTTTCTTGAGTGGTAACAGCTAATTTAGACCCCATCATTTTGTATGGATCATTGGGATTATGTTTCCAATGTGCATCACTTTGCATTTATCAACATTGAACTTCATCTGCCATTTTATTGCCCTGTCCCCCAGTTTCATGAGATCCCTTTGCTACTCTTCGCCGTCAGCTTTGGATTTATCCATTGTCAGTAATTTTAAGTGATTAGGTATCATCTGCAAGTTTATTAACCCTTTCCTCCCCTTGTTGAGACAGGCTACATATACTTCACTGCAGATAAGATTCTTTCTAAGAAAACTGTTCTCCTTTCATTTCAGGGCAACGGGGCAGCTGAAGTAAGCACTGGAGACCTGTCTGAGGGGGTGAGGAGCTGATACAAATCTCCTCCTTCGGAAGCATCTCTGTACTTGAACTTGACAATGTCGTCCCTCCCAAGGCTCTGAGCAGAAGCAGGTGCCCATTCCCCACATTGTATCCAAGGCTTCCTCCCTAAATCGACCACCCCCTCTCTACACTGCGTACCCCAGACTTCATACACAATAGCATGGAGAGAGGATGCAGCAGAGTGATGTAGCTCCTTACCTAAGCTCCCCTTCCAGTTGCGAACCCTTGGGTATCAGCTAGGCTCTCTCCCCCCTCAGCATTTTTACACCTAATAATAAGGTGGGTCTGCTTCAGTGGTTCCCTGATATCCATGAGGAAGAAGCAATCCTCTGCTTTCTTTCTGAGCTGCTCTTCCAGCTGGGTCGGAACGCCCTCCCCACCTGCACACACTTGAGGAATATTGAGTCGCTTTGGGAAATCTGGCTAGGTCCAAATGATGGTTTCCAGTTTGAGTTTATGAACGGTCTGTATCCTTATGTCTTATGACTGCCCTTGACTGTGTTCTGCCTCATGCTCCTTGTGATAAGAGGAGAGGGGCACCAGCATGTCCACGGACAGGTTGATCATTATGGACTAGCAGCACCAGAACAGATCTTACTCGAGGAGAACACAGGAGTAACTGCATCATAGATCAAGTTTGTTTTCTCCAATTTCTCTGCATGGGGCACTGGGGGCTTGAAGGAATGGAATTTTCCCAGAAGCAGAACAAAGAGATCCAGTGTTAGCGCGGGGTCTTAAAAACTGCAGCAGCTTAGAGATTCAGGCAGGACTCAACGGAAGCTTGGGCAGCAGAGAATAGCAGAGGGGCATGCATTCATAGCTGGGGGGAGGGGTTCTGTTGAACTGTGGGACCAGCTGAGGAAGAAGGAAGCTGGCTGAAGAGGAGAGCGACATTGTGATTTGGAGGAGAAGCCACATGCAGGAGCTGGGAACCTGGACTCATAGTGGGCTCCAACCTAAGCCCAAAGAACGCTCAAGAATGGTTAGCAATCTGAAGCAGGGAAATGCACACAGACGTCATTGTTTGGACTACGTCTCTATATGTCTTGAGCGATCTATAGAGTGGTTGTCTTGGGAGCTTTTGCAAAGTCAGTGTCTTATGTGCTTCTCCTGTCACATGTCCCTAGAGAGGTAACCTGGAACCCAGAGCACCCACAAAGTTGGAGCTCTTGGAAAGGGGGAGCTTAAACTACTGGAATAGCCGTGGGGTCCTGGAGGTCTAGAGCAGCTGGATTGCGAGCTCCCATTTCCATGAAGTGTGCCAGAGAGGCCAAGGAAAGAGACAGTGCTGGAGCCTATTCAACCTTGGAAAGTTTAAGCACATGGCTCTAGAGTGATGCACCCATGCACAGTAGACTGGTGAGTGTCCGGCAGAGAGAGCTTTAGCGGGGCTGTGACAAATATCCATGGAAGCTCACTGCTGTACTGGCTGCAGACGGGCCCAGTTTTGTAGGGTTACCAACTGTCCCGTATCTTTAGGGATGCCCCTTATTTAAATAAAAAATTGCCTGTCCCAAACTAAATCAATACTGAGTGCCTTTTATCATCTGTTTCAATGTAGAGTGTTGCCAGAGCAGTCCAGAATTTGGCCTGGCCTCCCCTCTGTCATGCATGGAGGGGCAGCCAGGTCAAATTTGAATAGCACTGACAGAGGGGCACTACCAAGAAACTGGTCTTGTATTTTTTAAATAGAATGTTGGCGACCCTACTGTCACTCCATGTGCTGTACAATGCTGAAGGCTGTAACAACTCTGTTAAACTGAAAATATGAAGTATGAACACTGGCAACACCCATTTTTTCATGTTCTCTGTGTATATATATTTTCCTACTGTATCTTCCACTGCATGCATCCAATGAAGTGGGTTTTAGCCCACGAAAGCTTATGCTCAAATAAATTTGTTAGTCTCTAAGATACCACAAGGACTCCTCGTTCTTTTTGCTGAATGGTGTGAGTTTGATTTCTCCATGCCAGGCTCCTGTGGAAATATTTGTCCCATTGGTCCTTGCCCTGGCTCTCTTCCATTCCATGGAATGGATCATTGGGAGCAACCTGGGGCTAGTTTGGTTGTGATAATGCCTGGAACTCATATAATGCCTCCTATGGGATCTCTAAACACATGCAGGACAGGCTTTCATTTCCTCCTCTGCAATGTTGAGATGATAATTCCTCTGCAACACAGGTTCTGCACTCGCTGCCTGCAAAGCCCTTTGAGATCCACAGACAACGGTGCTAGGGAGGTGAAAAATATTAATAATTCGCCCTCTCCACTGCCTGCTCCATACCAACCCACTGGCAGAACCAGAAGGAGCTTTTTGGGGGCAAATTCACACCACAGTGAATTCAGAGTAGCTCAGCTGCAGTCAGTGGAGTTACACCAGGGTAGATGAGAGTAGAGTCCAGCTCACTTGCTGACTGAGTTACACCAGGGTAGATGAGAGTAGAGTCCGGCTCACTTGCTGACTCAGGTGTACCATGACCTAAAGTACTTACCAAACTGCTTAATGTGCAATGAGGTTGTTGGATTTCAGTCAAGTTCCCAGAAGGCAGGTGCCCAAACACACTGCCCACATCCTAAAATAACAATCACAGGGAAGAGTAGATGGCAATTCCAGTAGAGTTGCCAAGGACCGAGATGGTCATGGGTACCCTTCTCCAAAGAGACATCTGTGTCCCATACGTGGAATATCAAGGTTTAATAAGAAAGTGGAGGGCCTCTCACCATGGACTCTTACCTTCCAGTGCACAGGTGAGAACAAGGAGCTATGGAGCTATAAATGGAATGGAAAAGCTTTGCACATTCTCAGAGGAACTCAGAGTGGCCTCCTCCATGAGGGAACTGCACAAACAAGACCAAGCAACGAGAAGACCCTGCCCCTTGGCCAGATCCTGATAGGGCTTATCTACCCTCCAAAATTACTTCCTGCTGGAAAAAATCCTAACTAACATGACTTATCACTCAGTGTAGCAACGGACTGTTGGGTGTAACATAGCCTCATCTGGTCATGGTTAATCAATGAATGGATCATAGGGCTAACTGCAATCTGCAGACAGTGTTAAACAGGACAGCCCTTGACTAAGGCTGATGTTAGCTCTAATATGGAAGAATCATAAGAGGCCAATCTGGCTCCACCAGGAGCTCTTTAATAACCTGAAAATAGAAAAGGAATCCTACAAAAAGTGGAAATATGGTCAAATTGCTAAGGAGGAATGCAAAGAAACAGAACAAGTATGTAGGGAGAAAATCAGAGAAAGGCTAAGGCACAAAATGAGTTACACCTGGCAAGTGACATAAAAGGCAATAAGATGTTCTTTAAATACATTAGGAGCAAGAGAAAGACCAAGAAAAGTGCAGGTCCTCTACTTAG